TGTCAATAGTACCCCTAACTAGATACAAAAAAACAAAAATGCCCTTTTGTGTGATTTCTCATTTTTTCCCAAAAAATTGAAGTTTAACTTCTTCCTTTATTTCATGCACCATGAATGATACAACAAACTACACTAAACCATTTTAAATGATGAAGGACCTGAATAGGCATGTACACTATTATTCTTTTGTTGACTCCACATCTTACTCTATAAGTACAAACTTATCTTCTTCCTATATATTCACCGGGAATAATATGTTAAATCACAATAAACCATATTAAATGAAGACTCAAAGAGGCATGTGCACATATAAATACTGCCTTTAATATGAGGCGGGCATTGCAATGCTGGAATATTTCATTGTTATGCACAATTGTACTCCTAGGTGTTAATCTTATAAGTCATAAACATATGCTTGTTGAATAATATCAATTTGTGGTTGGTGATAATTTTGTTTCTCGGTCAAATTTATTGTGACCCATATACACTTGGTTGTGGCCACACATGATAACGTTTTCAAACTCTTCTGCTTATTTTATTAAGGGATGGCATTGACTTTGTCACTTTATGTCTTGATGGCTATCAACAATGTCCTCTCTAAAGCAAGAAGTTACTAACAATATCACCATGTATATGTTTGATATTGTTTATGGTTTGAGCACTTGTGATTCTTCTTATGGATCAAAACCTTAAATTTATAGGAATAAATATAAGACCAAAAAAAATCTAAAGAAAGTTTGATATACTTGTAGTTTAATCTTGTCGCGGGTCTTGAAACTAGATTAGTAGTGTTGTTTTATTTTTACATTGTTATCTTGGTTTATTGTATTGGGTATTACACTTATGGTTATGGGTCAATTTGGTTTATTTTCCAGTTGGAATGCAACTTTGCATTACCTTTCAATATAAGATTTCTGTAAGTATTATTTGACTAAGAACTCTTTCTTGTTAAGAAATATAAAATAAAAACAGATTTCGAAAATGGTCCATATGCAATGCACGTGTACAACCGCCTAGTCCTCCCAAAAAACAACCCCTACTCCCATCCCCCACCATAAACCTAAGCTTTTGAGAGAAAAGACCCGAGAAATAAACTTCCTTGGACTTCGAAAGCTTCCTCTTTCCACCCCATTAGCATCCCAACCATTAGCATATAGTCTATGTTTATTCTTAATAAAAAAACACAACAGGGATCCTTGTTCTAAAAGAAACCTCCAAAGCCATTTCCCAATCAGAGCTATATTCCTCTTTAGCAAATTCCTCACCAACAACCCACTTTTTGATTTCGATCTTGACACAACCTCTTCTAATATCAAGTGATCTTTCCTACCCGCCCTTTTTTCTTTCCACAAAAATCCCTCATCATTCCTCTCATTTCCCTTGCCACTGATACAAGTAACTTAAAAAGAAACATGAAATATATAGGAATGTTAGCCAAAACTGATTGAACTAAAGAAAACGTACCTCCCTTAGAAATAAAAAAAAAATTCCACCCATTTAACCTTTTTAATAACAGGATCCCAAAAAGATCTACGCATTAGATTACCACCTAAAGGAAGCCTTAGATATTTCAAAAATCAACTCCGTACTACACATCCCAAATCCACAACCAACCTATCAATCTTATCCTGAGTAGTGTCGTTGTGTTAATACCCACCACTATGTTCTTTTCGAGGTGTTTTGGTGTGTTTCGAGGTGTGGCGGTTTATTTCCACCTATGTTTCGGAATATTTAAATTGTTTCGACTAGGGGTGCAACTTGGGTGAGCCAACCCAAATTAAACCCGAAAAAAATAGAGCTCGGGTTGAGGTTTTTAATACTTGGGTTGGGTCTGAGTTGAAAAATACCACCCCGAATTGAATTTGGGCAATACTCGAGCTGAGGCCTCAGGTTACCGAGTTCAACTTAAATATATAAATCGAGCTCAACCAGAACATATTTAAAAATAAATATATAAATCAATAGCAATATAACTTACAACTAGGGTTCAATGTTTCATACTTCACAGTTCACTTCAGTTGTTCACGAGTCACTACTGAGCCTCCCTTACTCAAATTTTGATTTTGATTTTCATTTTGATTTCAATTTCAGATTTTGATTTTGATTTTTAATTTCATATTTTTTCAGTGTAAAATTTAATCTTTAGATTTTGATTTCATTTTCATTTTCCAATCTGAATTCAATTCAAGCCAGTCCAAATTTAACTTGGGCAGTACTCAAAGTACATCGGATTGAGGTATGGTTAAGGTTAAAAATTATATACCTAGAGTTGACTCCTCAACCTACTCGAGTTACACCCCTAATTTCAACCGATCATTCGACAATAAATTTTAATTTTTTTTCTTTATTTTTATCTTGTTTTTGAAATGTTTCCAAAATATTACTGAAACATTTCCATTTTCAAGCTTACCGAAACTACGCACTGAAATGAAATTTTGATCCTCACTGTTTGCCCTCCCCATTAATTTAGTCAATCCATCAACCACTAAAGTAAACAAAAATGAAAATAAGGGATCACCATGCCTCAAACCCCCAGAAGTCTTGAATTTTTCCCTTGGTTTCTTATTCAACATGACAGAAAAGTTTATAAATTCCAACAATCTTTTCATCCACTTCCTCCACCTACTTCTAAAGCCTTTAACTTCCACAACATAATTGAAAAAATTCCAACCTACATGATCATAAGACTTCTCAAAGTCAATTTTCAACACAATACCCTTCTTACCCATGACACGATACTCATCCATAATCTCATTAGCAACTAAAGTCACACCCAAAAAATATCTACCTTTAACAATAGCTCTTTGAGACAAAGATATTCTCACCAAGACACTCTCTAATTCTGACCGAAAGAATCTTAGCAATGATCTTATATAAACTAGTCACCAAACTGATAGACCTAAAATCCTTTACTCTCAAGGAATTGATTTTTTTGGAATTAAACAAATGAAAGTAGCAATAGTGACGGCATTCACCATCCCATTTTGAAAAAAATCTCCAAATACCACCATCAAATCATCATTTACCTCAATCCCAAACAAAACTTGAAAAATAGCCATAGCAAAACCATTTGACTCTAGAGCTTTGTCGATACTACACTCAAAGACAGCTTGTCTAGCTTCCTCCTCCTCAAAGGGTCCTCTCTAACCACAAAGCAGCTTCTTGCCCAATGGGACTCCATTCCAAACCCATCAAAGTAGGTCCCTATCAATTAGATTCTCATCATCCACAATCAATCCATTATCAAGTTCCAACTTATCAATGATTTTCCTTATTCTATTTCCATTAGCCATCCAATGAAAAAAAATTTGAGTTATTCTTTCCTTCCTTCATCCACTTAACCTTAGACTTTTATCACAAACAAATCACTTCTTTATACACCATCTCTTCAAATGTATTCCTAAGACCTCCCATCTCCTTTCTTAAATCCTCATTCAAATCTCCTTATTCCTCAATTCTATCAATATCATCAATCCTTCATTCGATCATTCTTTAACTTCTTGAACATCCCCAAAAACTCCTTAGTTCCAAACCTTAAATTTTCGTTTTATCAACCCATTCATAAATTTATAGCCTTCCCACCTAGAAATTTCACTCTTAGAGCACCAATCTCTAATTTCTCTCTAAAATCCACATGCTCTACTCACATATTTTTAAACCTAAATGGACAAGGACCCCATCTAAACTTAGAATCCTGAAGAACAATAAGACAATGATTAGACAAAACTCTAGACAACACCTCAACTAGTAAAATTTGATCCAGTAAAGGTACCATTTGCTAGAGGAGCATCCCTAAGTTCCAACTCCCTAACAAAAGTATCAAATCCCTCATACTAAGTAACTCTTTCACCATACATCTTCTCCCCTCGGTACTTAATAACATTAAAATCCCCTCAAATACACCATCTAGGACTCCAAATACCAGAAAAACCCCAAAATTCATCCCACATATGAGTTCTAATCCTTGGTTTGTTTGGTCCATAAATCCCAGTGAACCAACACTCTGACCCATCCCTATTCCAAATTCTTACAAAAATTGTAAAATTCTACCTCAATGACTCTTTAACCATTACTGATCTCTCCTCCCACATAATTACAATCCCATTTGACCTACCCGTAGATGGTAAACAAACCTAACTCTTAAACCTAGATCCCCAGAGACTCTTAATTATTCTCCTATCTATAACTTCCAATTTAGTTTCCAACAAAATCACCAAATCAGGTCCGACTATCCTCAAAAGGTCCTTAATTTCTCTTTTTCTCCATGATCCAATTCCTGTTCCCACACTTCTCCCTTTCCCTTTTTTCCCCCCATTAAAGACATGCCCATTTTCTCCAAAAAAAAATTTCAAAACTATCCACTTTTCTTCATCAGACACAAAGCAATCACTGTATTCACTATTTTCTCCCTTCTTCTCTGATTCTTCACTCATCCCCTCTTCACCGTACCATACGACAACCTTACTGGTAAGTGGTAACAACTTCAAATATCCCTAAATAAAAAATCCCAGAGGTATCCCCAGTTATCAGTAATCATTATCAATCCACTACAACCAAAACCCTGATCTGCACCTAGGATGGAAACTGGAGCCTTCAGAACATCCATGGAATCAAATTCCTTAAGGGTAACTAACACTCTCCCAATAGGATCTTATGCTCCTTCCTCCCTCACATATCTAAAGACCCGGTCTTTGATTTAACCCCACCGACAAAAAGATCAAAAGCAAAAGAAGGATAAACTTCGCCAAAAGAAACAATTCCTCCATGTGAAATAGGAAGACAATGTGCCCCTAAAGAATCAGAAGAAATATGAGAATTGAAGTCACAAGTCCTACTTACCATATGATATGCTTCAAAGCGATTCCAAGAGTTGTCTTCATCCTTTAAAAGTCTTGCCACATCCTTCAGTAAATCATCATAATTCAGTTTTGTACCGTAACGCAGTTCGCAATACAAAATGGAAACATCAGAGCTGCGATTCTCCTTGTCACTTTCTCCCACCCCCAACTCAAAATCTTGAATGGCAGAAGCCTTCTTCCACTTCCATAGCCTTTAATCTCTGCTCAATCTCCTTACCCGAGAAACCATCTTCAAACTCATCTCTGAAATTCTCACATTCTGTAATTCCTTTCTTAACAAACAAAGACAGATTTTCATCAATGTCCCTCCCATTTCCCTTATCTTCTAACAACGACAAATCTTCGACTTGAAATCGAAGGCGAACATCGGCGTCGTCATTGCATCCGTTGTCTCCCTCACCAAATTTGTCATAGAGAACAACCCTATCCCTCTCCGCCCTCTGTATTATAACGATGGGCTTCAGATCCTTTGATATTGGGCCAACCTCATTCTCCATAACCGGCTTTGCAATCTTTTTAAACTTAAGACAGCCCAAATTATTCAACCCCCTAGAATTCTTAAAAACCTGTGAATTATTCGACCTTGCCCAAGAATTAAAGCTTTTGGATAATCTTATGAGTAGTGCGATTGGATGAGAAACCTTCGAAGTGGAAAACACAAGACCGAATAATGTAAAACTCAAACAATACAACGTCAAAGGGAATCTTAATTAGCCAACAACCAAGTGAAACTTAGATAGTCCATAGAAATGAATACTAAATGAAGTAATCTGTTAGTGGCCAGTTTACTTAAGTCTTCAAATAATGAAGAATCCATAAACACTATTCTCACGTAAAGCAACGCTCATTCCAAACACCATTTTCTTTATTTCCTTTTTCATTCTAGGAAAAACCACTCAATACTAACCAACAATCACAAAACACAACTTGGGATGAAACAATAATGAGAGCAGACTGCACAGGATTCTTCCAAGGACCAATGCTTAAGATGCTACCCAATCATAGTAGCAGCATGATAGCTATGACATGACTGACTTTACACAATTTACCAACGAAGTCTAGAATGTAAACTTTAATACTAATATTTAACCCAGAAATTGTTTTACAAGCTTCAGAACTAGCAAACTGAAATGAGCACACAGGCAAAGACATTGCTAATTCAGCAATACGCAACAAAGCTAACAAAACCACTGGTAGTTGTGTAGGTACAGATGCTAGGTCTCATCTTTTGATGGAGCAGGACTTGAGAGTTTCCTTTATTGGATTATCTTAGTACTTAACTTTTGTTCCTACTTTGAACTCAGAACACCTACAAGGTCCAATATTGTTAATTTGTTAGTATCACAACCCACGATGATGTCCTGGTGATACATTCATACATTGCCGGTGCCAAAGGCTCAAAAGTGTCAATTACATCTACCTTAAAAATTGAGACATGGGAATCACCATGTAAAAAGTATGGAATAAATGAGCAAAATTTCGTCGAGTTAAAACTTAAAATTGACTTGCATGTTTCTATTGAAAGAGAAGCACTACAAACATGTAAAGAAGAAGGAAAAAAAAACTAAAAATTGATTCCCTACCACTTGTGTCATTCATGAAGCACTTATTCAACATGAAAAAAGCATAATAAATAACAGTATTGCATGAGGTAATATCAAAGGGTATATCACAAAGTAGCCTTAAATGACTCACCAGACCAGGAGAGTTATTGAGTTCTTCATTAACCTCAACCACTTTCCCTGAAACTGGCGAGTAGATATCACTAGAGGCCTTGACACTTTCCACAGCACCAAAACTTCCACCCTGTGTTACAGCAACTCCTACTTCCGGTAATTCAACATACACAACATCACCCAAGTGATCCTGAGCATGGTCAGTGATGCCTACAGTAGCAGAATTACCGTCGACTTTCAGCCACTCATGAGAATCAGCATACTTCAGATCCTTGACAACTGAAAATAATAAAACATTACATGAATCAACGATGTTTTGAATTCAATGTTCTATGTAATTCTAAACCTAAACATGTGTCACTCTTTGAAAGTCCTCAACTTTTACTGAACATTTAATTGTAATAGATTTATTGGCTTTGACATAAGCCATAAAAACTCCTTATTCAGGCCAAGTAAATTGTAAATAATTGACAAATCTTGTGACATATGTGATGCATGCCCAAATGAATATCATAGAACAAAGAATCCCCATTTGTGTGATTCACGGTTTCTACATAATCTACCTCACTAAGTATAAGGAGAATGTATCCACCTAGGAGATATGCGTATCTGAGGTATATCTAACAAGTATCCAACAATCATAAATATTTTATTAATTATTTGATACGTCCAAAAAGTATCCGATACATATCTACGATTATCCAACGAGTACGATATCGGATGCGTAACGGATATGAATACATCACCCTGATCGAAGTATCTATGCTTTATAGCCCGTTGGTGCATGTATATATGTGAATCAAGGAAAAAGCCTAAAAAAGTCAAACGAGTAACTGGTATAATCAAATGTACAAGGATTTCACGAATCTATACGAAAATTTATGAAATAGTATGTCTAGAAACCCTTCCACATTGATGTCAACCTAAATTTAGTGGTAAACAAACACGACAAAGATGAAATGGACAGTAAAGTAAATGGAGTATATTTGTCCTTGCTTAATCCGCCTTTACTAAATATTAAGGAGTACACTTGTACTCTGGCTAATAAAGTAAAGGTTCCGTTTTCAAATCTAAGGTTGACTATAATTAGATCCTTAGCACAAGCGCTAAGTAAGCAAGCTACCTTATGTAATTAATGTAAAAACCCTAAGGAAAATAACATCAAGCAGAAACAAACAAGGTCTTTCTGCGCGATCACTACTACGCACAGCAGCAAGCAGCTTAAGTATGCTACACAGTAGAAGAACTAAAAGTAGAATGTAACAAAGAGAAACATTACCATAAAGGACAACACTATAAATTTGGTTAACTACTTACTACCCAAAGTGCTCTTCAAAAAAATATTCTAGGAAAACTTCCAGAAAACAGAAGAACCACCCGCTAACTGCAAGGAGCATTTTGCCTTTGCTGATTTAGATTCCTTTGCTACTTGTAATCACCATCTCTACAAAATTATGAAAATGCAACTGATTGGACAGCATAAAGATTTTGTTCAATTGGTTAAACAGCTTAAAGAATTCGAACTTATGGCATACAATTCTCTGTAACGCATATGTAATCAGTTCGGCAGGCTATAAAACCTTGATCTTTAAACTAATTTCTCAGACTCCTCTAGCCTTGCCATAGCCCCCTGAAAGCCCATAGCTCAAAGACTGCATGTCAAGTGTCAACTCAATTTCAGATTTTCATAGTCTTCACGGTCCAAATAATTGAAACTCTTGGATTAAGACCAGCGACGGTCATTGCAATCTGCTAGCTAGTCAATTGTTATTCATTTTATCCTAATGGACATGAAATATGTACTTTTAAGGTAACTAGCTAGTTCCCACATGCGTTGCACGTGAATTCTCTGAAATAAATATTATATATAAAATCGTAGACCACTATCTCCAAAATATACACCCTAAGTCAAGGTTAGACAATGACTGATTAATAACCTCTTGTGAGTCCATTCACATTGATACAGAATGTGTTTCATAGCTTCATTATCGTTCCCACAAAATTGGCATGAGGGTGACTCTGTGCATTTCCTTTCAAATAAATTCTCTTTTATTTCATAAAAAAAAAATCCCCATATGGTCTTTTCCAAAAAAATTCATCCTAACAGATTCATGCAGATTCTAAACTAAGGCCACAGGTTCTATTATACTGATAGGTCAGATCATCTATGGCGTTGGATTTTGGTGCCTACATCTCACAAATCCTGCTATAACACCACATCCAGGTTAGTGTGACCCAAAGTATTTAAGAATAAATTCTCATTCACTTAACATTTATCAAGAAAATGCAATTTGCGTTCGTGCACATGAAATATAGAACAAGACCCACTGTATTTAAGAATAAATTCTCATCCACTAAACATTTATGACGAATATGCAATTTGGGATCGTGCACATGAAATATAGAACAAAAACTATAAGCATGCACGAATCAATCATGGCTAGATTAAAAGATTGAGGTGCAGATGCTATCTATTTCAAGTAAATAACATTTGCATTGTATATCACCGAATATGAAACAAATGCAATACTAAATTCTTTAGTGACTTGTATTGTTTTTATGTATTTCATATCAGCCAACAAGAAGTAATGATTGTTACGACATGTATTGCATTCATATGAATCAGAAAATCAACAATATACAATCAGTATACATGGCACAAGCTTTAAGTTATTGTAACTGTATCTTTCATTCCGAGAACTATCTGATGCCATACTTAATCCCCAATACCCCTGGCAACACCATGGAATTCCACAAGCTAAATATGTCATCACAACTTCTCATTATTTTTTCAATTTGAAGTTGCATGCATACAACACTATTCTACTAATGAGTAATGACTTTAGTAATCAACTCAAGGTATGGCCTAAGACCTGGGAGGTGTACATAGACCAAAAGGGCACAAACCAAGAATTCTCTTGCTCGGAATTCTATTAAAACTGGTTTATTACATTCTCTTGTTCAGAATGATTCCACTTAGTCAGTAAACATGCTTGAGTATGACACTCAGTTATCAGTCTATAAAACAAATTGGTGAGAATTCTGCTATGAATACCAAATAGAAGGACAAACATATTTCTAAACCACAATATATATTTTCTTCCACTTTAGTTGTGTAATTCTTTTTAGGGCAACCCCATTACCTCCATTCCTTATTATAATAGATTGGTACAAAACTTCTATGGAACTGTGATAACAGGATATAAAACCAAGAATAATGAAAAATTCACCAAGTCTAATAGGGAATTTCATAAGAGCAAAAGTTGCTACAGTTGGAAGATCAACATACATGTTCTTGAATAGTTGACCAATAATTTGGAACTTGATTCAAAACATGAAACATGTACAGCATACTTCCCCTTGCATGAGATTTTGCACCAGGCATGCATTTGAATCCACCATCTACATTCTTGCAACTTACAATGCATTGTACAACCTTTGACATTCTGCACCACCAGGCACATAGCCGCGTGGTGAGCACAGAGCGAAATTGTTTCGCTTTTCACTAAGGAATACTATGTGATGGTCGTTGAAAGGGGCATATAAAGAAAAAAAATAACATCGATTTTATCCAAATGATGCAATAAAGCATGAGAACATATTGCAATACAAGAGAACCTAAATTGAATAAATAATATGTTCGATTACAGTCCTGAGTAATTTGATAAAGAGATGAATACTATTAATAGTTGCTCAAGGAAAGATCACCATTCTTGTCCATCTTAATACAGGGGTCAATAAAGAGCTTAAGTTGATCATCGACATTGCTCTTGTTACAGTTGTTATTTAACATCTCATAGAATCTTGTTAAAAGCGGATGAGCCTTGGATGGAAACCAGAGAAGTGTCTTTTGGCATTACGGTTATTTGATTAACATAAATTAATTTAAAATTAATATTGATGAAATTGAAGAGACATGAAGCATATCATTGGCTTTATGATAGTAACTAACCGCAAATTCGAGAATAAAATGTTTTTGAGGTAAGTTCAAAGGACTGGAAGGATATCATTGGGTTTATAAAGAGAATTAAGGGCAAATTCGAAAATTAAAAGTTTTTCATATTAGCTTACTTTGATTTGTAGTATAGATTATGGTCAAGTTTTTAAGATCCTCATCACAAACTCAAAAGGGCGGCCAAGCAAGAACTACTATATCATTTTCAAAGCTTAGAACAGTTAAATTAGGACAAAAAAATACAGAAACAACACAAGCAAAAACAATATACGATCTAGCATCAAGCTTAAATAAAATTAAGAGATTTGAAGATTTCAATAATTTAAGAATAGATACACAATTAGCATGCTTAAAATCAGCCTTCCAAATTGATCTCCTTATTCCTGCTGATTTTAAACAATAGTAATGAATAATGATATTGTAAAGTCTATTAAGGAATTATAACATGTACTGCTTTAAGATACAGATCTATGCCAGTGATAAACGAAAAAACATGACAGGGGACAGCCAAACCCATCTACGGAATGCCAATGATCATAATCAACTAGCTCACAACCTGAGAAACTATAGAGGATCAGATGGAAACAATGTAACCCATGAAGCACGCTGATACGTATACAGATATGGCCGAATACATCTTGGAGATGTCTGGATACATCTAGGATATTTTGAAACTTTTTTTTTAATTAAAATTTTTGAAACATTTTGGATATGTCTGATACATTTTGGATAGGTGGGGATATATCAGGGTTAAATATATGCTTTTAATTTAAAATTAATTTTACAACAAAAAATAAGGAAGTTCTTGTGCAAGAAAATTAAAATTTGGACCTCAAAATAGTTGATTTGTCAACTATGTTACATATTGAACAAGAACCTTATATGACATGTCATCCCCCTCAAATTGAAACTTGATCCATCTACAAAGTGAAAGCAAGAGATCGACTTGAACAAATCATAACACAAGCAAGTCCTCATTGTGAATGTCAGAGATAATTAAATTTGAACAGAGGGAAGGGAAAAATATGCAAAAAATGGATTGAAAGCTTGATATTGCATCCACAATCAAATGATGGTGAAAAAATATTAGCATAAAACTAATTATAGCATGAATAACTAATATTTAATCCCACTCTTGAAACAATGACATAGTTCTGGAATATAATGTGCACATATAGAGAGCTAAAAGGAATATAGGATTCAATACACATAATTTGCAACATCAACCAAACAATAAAGAAGCTATATATAAACATCAGGCATTGACAGATCACAAGCTCCGAAAACTCAAGCCAACATAAACTGATCAGAAAACCTTTAACTAAAACCAACCCATATTGAAAAATGAGATCTTTATTAAGAAGCACTATAGATCAAACATAAAAAAAACATAAGAACGAGATTAATACAATTATAAAGCAAATCGTGAAAAACAGAAAATAGACGAGACTGTGAAGATATACCAGAAGCAAAGCCTCTGTGAAACGCTGAGATCCTGAGATATGAAGCAGCCCTTGATGCCCACAACTTGGAAGCCATGTTAATCAGAATACCAACCCAACAAGACCACTCTGTTGCTCTTCAATATGCTCACACACACAAAAACACAAGCAGTCTTTCTGTTTTGCTTGATGTTTGGTTTTATATCATACAAGTAGGGAATATACGAAACAGTGCCAAGCTTTTCATAATGTGAAAAATGAAAAGGGAAAATAGTAGTTTGCACCGGGAAAGATTAAAACAATTTCAATTAGAACCCTAAAAAATTAATTATTTTATACTTTTAATTAAATTAATTAGTAGCATTGTGACCCAAATCAAGAATTTCGTTGCGATTTTCATCAAATTATCAGCTACATTAGATGCACGTGATGACTTTTGTTGGATTATGGAGCTTCCCTTTTTCATGTGCGTCTCATGTTCCTACCACTCTAATAAAAATCGTCACAGACATTATAGTGGGGATTACGATTTCCATCACATTAACAGTAACGTGAAATGCACGTGATGACTTTTGTTAGATTATGACTCTTCTCCTTTTCATTTTCATGTACATCTCACATGACTGTCAATTTAATGAAAATTGCAACAAACATTATAATTGGGGTCACATTATTACTAATTAATGAATATAATTGGGGTCACATTATTACTAATTAATTTTATTAAGGGTGAAATTTAAAATAATTAATTTTGGAGGGTATAAATTATATTTGTTTAATCTTTTTGTGATACAAACTGCCATTTGTCCAAATAAAAATGAAAGGGGTAAGTTTCACTAAGACCCCAGAATTTTAGGAACATTGACCCCTTAACATTTGAAACTCTCTTTATCCATGTCTGTTACATGAATCATACTTCTCAATTGAACTCAAAAGCTATATTTTTCATTACATCACGAATTATAATATCATTTTTTTATTATTTTATTCAAAATTAATTCTAATCTAACACTATGCCTAACATTATCATTGATATGTATCAAAACACTATTTCTCGCAAGTGCATCATTATGTCGTCTATGAATACTCCAAACGAATATAAATTATTATCAAAGTTTTGTGTAAATTTTATTGATTTATTCAAGTTTTAAAATAAAAAATTAATAAATTTGAAATTCAAACCTTAGTCTTGGTTGATATCGGTAAGAGCTGCTGTGTTTCCTATATCACTCAAAAAATAAAAAAATCCAGTGTCATTTATCCTATGTTAGAGGGGTTCCATGCTGTTTTCTCCAAAATGCAGGGGATGCTTGTGTAATTCGTTAAAATTAAAAAAGAAAGGACTAAACAAAACATAAGGGAAGGTGGTGGGTCAACGTGTCACCAAACCCATTCAGCAGAAGTTGGTGAGTGTTGCCTTCAGAAATGATATTATTACAATAGAATGCATGAAATTTCTGTGTTTTTTTTATCTATAATACAGCTGAAACGTATGCCCTGTTGAGGTGGAGGTGCGAGTGTCGGCATATTAGTGCACGTGTTTGGTCCCAAGCTAAGTAGTACATAAGTTCCATGACACTGCAGACCGTTAATATGTATATGAATCCAACTCAGCCACCACTTGTACTAGGAGCGTGGTAATTTGCGCTGAGGGTTCGAGATAGCGTATAAAAATGGTGAATTCGTGCCTAAATTTCCTTAAGTTAGTGGTTGGAATTTGAATTACAGAAAGTTGTGGCAGAAAATTAAGAATCCAATAAATTACAGATTCGAAAATTGGATAAAAATCAGCATTTGAACAAATTGTTTATAATATATACTTACTGCTAATAAAAGGCAAGTAAATGAAGAAATTTTGATTGATTATTATATCCCTATTAAAAGGATAAAAGATACTTCAATTTTTATGTATTTAATTATTCAATATTAATTAAATACAGATGACCCTTCATATACTTCTATTTCCACATCAATATTAAAGTTTTGCAATTTAAGGATTTTTTTTTGTTGGGTATCTTACGAGTAAAATATTCTCATTTCTCAAAAAGACAGAAGATAGAATATAGTAATAAATTGTGTTGTCCTAATATTAGTTATGGATGATAAACAAAAGATAATAACAATTATCCATTGACTTCTCCATTGGTATTTTCTAATTTTAACACAGGTTCTCGTAAAAATTTGAATTTGTAATTTCACTAATGTGTGATCTTTACAATCTCAATGTAGTTTTCATGTGTAACGCATGTATGCAACAAATAGTTTGACAAAATTTTACTTACCAAAAAATTTGTTCATAATTTGATAAAACATCGTCTGTGAAAAACAACACCCTAATTATTGAATAACCCTCTTCTCATCAAGTAGATATTGGGTGTAACTATTTAATAATAAAATTGATAACATAAAGTGCACTTCCTATCATGATGGTAGTTATGTATTACATGACTAGGTAGTTATGAATATACATGAAGTTCACTTACAAAGTTGTTTATTTATTAGTGGGTGATTACACCATGTGATATTTGGTGTAACGGTTACACCTAATATTTTTTACTCCTCATCACACCTTTAACTTCCACTGTTTGTTTGTAGGTTATAGCCATTAGCAGCGTCGATTAGGGGTGTCCATGGGCCGGGCCGGGCAGGGCTAGGCCCGAGAAATTTTTTTTCGGGCGAGGCCTGGGTAGTGTAGGCCCAAGCCCTTATCCAAGTGAATTATCGGGCAGGCCGGGCCAGGCTTCGGGGTAGCCTATTGGGTGGGCCTATGGACAGGCTTGCTGGGCGGGCCTGCTTGAGGGCTTTTTTATATACATCTTTATTTAAAAATAATGAATATTTTTGTAATTTAATATTTGTGTAAATTTTATTTTTGAATCAAAAGTAAAGTCAAAATAGATAAAAATAAATAATAAACTACATCCAATAGAATGAATAAATTTCAATTAGGTTGACACCTACTAACTTATCTATTATTTGCATTACTCTACCATTTAAAACTTATATGTTTAATACATGAAAAAGAAAATAATATATTATTTATAATAT